ATAAAGTATTTTTCTGAGGTCTGTCTTATCAGGTAAATTACTGTACACAGTGTATTCATTAATTTTCATTTTCATGTAGTAAAGGCTCTATGCCTTCATAAAGGATGTACTTTTCCTTTGTTTAAGGGTATTTGGGCAGTTTATTCTCTGTTGTATTCTCAAGCAAACAATACATACAAGTACAGTACAATATTTTCTGAGGAAATACGCATACTTATCCTTTTTTAACCCCATTCCCAATAACCCGGCATTTTCACAAACTCAGCCACCCTTTGGTCCACATTAGGCCGAGTTTTCGAGGCTCTACTGTATAAGGATTTTTCAAGTAGTACTCTAGAATACAAAGACAAAAATTATGATACGGAAGCTTAAATACTGTACAGTATTTTTTGAACAAAATCAACAATGATGTGTAAAAAAATAAAGTATTTCATTAACTACTAGCTTTGATAACAATAAAAAAGTATCAAACATTTTATAAGATATTGTATTTACTGGATTATGTCAAAAGTATTTTAACTTTGTAGAAACAAATAACACATCTGTCTATATTGTTTTACAATATTAAGAGATTATAAAATTATTCTGTTGGCTGCCATAAAATTCATTACACCAGTTGAAATTGCACCAAGCCATGCAAGTTGAAAGAAAAGGATGAAAAGAAAATTCTTTTTAAAAATTTGAATGCTATCATAAACCACGACATATTGGAATGTAAACTATGATTTTTTAATTTCAAATGATTATTCTAGAACTACAATGCTAATGTATTTTAGAACCAGAAAATTAAAAAAATGCCTTTAGCGGCGTGTTTCGATACTATGCGGAATTGGTCTTGGTTGGGTCCTACCTTGTCCGTGATGCCCACCTTGACCTCAACCACGTGTTCTGCGTCTTTTGTTCTGTCGGTGAGAATTAACTGAGACACTGATCCAGGCAAATAATTTACTTTATTTGGATCGGCTACGCGATATTTACAATAGTGTTGAGATATAATACAAATCCAAGCACGGCTGACGACTCCAAAAGGTTAACTAACGTCAAGTCATAAAATATCTTTTTTCGTTGGAGTCCGGGAGCAAAAGTGAGATCAGAGGGCAAAGGTCACGCTGTGGCGCTTTGCCCTACATGCCCTTTTCACCAGATTTGCAGTAGCCAGACTTACACCCAGTCACAAAATACTTATTCAGCATGCTGTTGTTTCTTTTTCTCGTAGAAAAAGATTATAAAAATGCTTGAAAATGGCAAAAGTGTCTACCAACCAAATGAATAAACCAACTTCCTGTTCGCCGCAATGTGACTCCAGAGCCAGCTATTGTCAACCTGACACATTAACTGTAGAAAATGGCTGAGACCAGTAGACTATATCTATCGACTCTAGTTTCGGTTGTACATAGTATAAGATGTACCAATTATTTATAAAAACGAAATTGTATATAATTAAATATATTTATTTTTAAAGTCCATATGTTTGCATATAAATGTATTACTTATAAAAGTATTATAAATAAATTAATTTTATATCTATAAAAAAATAATACTAAAGATAATTATCTTATATTAAGCGTGAATATATTTTCATTTAAACAATTCCAAGAATAACCTGAACCCGATTCATTATATAGCATATACGTTCGAAGAATGCAATTTATTAAATTTTAACGTAAATTAGTTAATCTATTAATATTAAATTTAATAATTTATTATTTATATTTTTCTCAATTTATAAATTTATAAACTATTTATACTAACATAAATTAATAAAATGAATATCTACATTTTTTAAAAGTATTAATTTGGGAAGGGGGCAGTTCGAGCGTTTTTCTAGAAGAAGCTAAGATGGCGGCAGTCATGGAAGATCATGGCGTGGAAGAAAATTCGGAAATATTAGACGGTAACGAAGCAGAAGATGCCGAAGATGAAGCCACGTGTAAAGAAGTAATGGGTAAAAAGAAAAAGAAGAAGAAGAAAAAAAAGAAAGGTAATTTAATATAAACAAAAACGTGTCAATCACTATAAATAAAGTTAATATTTTAAGAACGTGACCAAATGACGAATTTATGACCATAATGTTGGATTGAACAAAAAGTATACACGAGTTTATATGTTTAAAGAGGAAATATTAAATAAAAAATACATTTTGTTTAAGATTGATATTATTATTAAATTTTAATGATTGATAAATATTTTAATGGTTTGTTTAAAATTGTAAATAGTCAGAAAATTCCTTTATTTATTATAAAGATCTTAAAACAATTATTCTAAACATAACTATCTTACAGAAAAATTAATTGAATGGAATAAAGCAATGATGAAATGAAAAAAAAATATATTTAATTTCAGTATTTTCTGCCATTCTGTTCTTTTATTTTTATTATTCTATTTTTATTTTTACTGTTTTTTTTTAATCTCATATTTCCTATTTAAAGTTTTCGTGAACTCAGAAAATAAGAGCATATTTTAATCCATTGGAATTTAAAGAAGAAACTTTTTTTGGCTAATTTTGTAGCCATCTTCAAGTTTCATTCAGAATTGGAATAGAAACTGAATAAAATAGTGCAGAAAAACAAAAATATGAAAACTGATTAAAGAACAGTTTACATTAAAATAGATAGATAAATGATAAAATGAATAAAGTTAATAAGTGTAACTGTTAATGAGGAACTTTATTCTAGAGACAAATTATCTATTTTTGGAATTAAGTTGTTTTTAAGTAAGTGTTTACAAAGTTTATATTTAACATATTTAGGATTATTAATTTTGTCTTAATTGAATGCATTTAGTAGTACAAAAATAATTTACAAGCATCTGACATATTACAGATTGAGTCATAATACTCTAAACATATACTTTTGTCAAAATCATAAACAGAAAAGTAAAAGACAATGTTTTTATTTTAATGATAAAGATATTAGTGTAATGATATGATACCTAACTGTTTGATTAAGTTCATAGTTATCAAGTAAAGATGTCTATACATTGTATATGTAATTCAATTAAAGTTTTAAATAAATTGATATTAAAAAAGAACACATAAGGCAAAATTTACTATATAGATACTTACTTTCACATTTATTACAGTAGAGCCTCAATAACTCGGCCACACCTTGGCAGGGCAAAAAAATTCTTAGTTAATTAATTTTCATTATAGACAGATTTATAAAAGTTCTCTTGTAAAGTATTTTTCTGAGGTCTGTCTTATCAGGTAAATTACTGTACACAGTGTATTCATTAATTTTCATTTTCATGTAGTAAAGGCTCTATGCCTTCATAAAGGATGTACTTTTCCTTTGTTTAAGGGTATTTGGGCAGTTTATTCTCTGTTGTATTCTCAAGCAAACAATACATACAAGTACAGTACAATATTTTCTGAGGAAATACGCATACTTATCCTTTTTTAACCCCATTCCCAATAACCCGGCATTTTCACAAACTCAGCCACCCTTTGGTCCACATTAGGCCGAGTTTTCGAGGCTCTACTGTATAAGGATTTTTCAAGTAGTACTCTAGAATACAAAGACAAAAATTATGATACGGAAGCTTAAATACTGTACAGTATTTTTTGAACAAAATCAACAATGATGTGTAAAAAAATAAAGTATTTCATTAACTACTAGCTTTGATAACAATAAAAAAGTATCAAACATTTTATAAGATATTGTATTTACTGGATTATGTCAAAAGTATTTTAACTTTGTAGAAACAAATAACACATCTGTCTATATTGTTTTACAATATTAAGAGATTATAAAATTATTCTGTTGGCTGCCATAAAATTCATTACACCAGTTGAAATTGCACCAAGCCATGCAAGTTGAAAGAAAAGGATGAAAAGAAAATTCTTTTTAAAAATTTGAATGCTATCATAAACCACGACATATTGGAATGTAAACTATGATTTTTTAATTTCAAATGATTATTCTAGAACTACAATGCTAATGTATTTTAGAACCAGAAAATTGTATTTAAAATAGTGAAAACATTTGTTTTCTTACAAATTAAATGTTGGACTAGTAAAAGATTTTTTGTTTCTTATAAAGATATTGAGTAAATGTCTGGAAGAATAGTTTCATCCACAATTTCTTTGTCATTCCTGAGTAAGGAGAATATATTTGTGCTCCTTTTATATTCTCCTTACTCAGGAATGACAAAGAAATTGCAGATGAAACTATTCTTCCAGAAAGTTTGAGCATTGAGCTATATCCTTGTAAAAGGATAGATTGTCCCTTTGAATATGTTGGTGCCACGTGTAGATCTCTGCATACCAGGATCAAATAACATCAAGAAGAGTCACCTACAGCAAACTCTTGAATAGGATTTACAAAGATATACCTCAATGCTCAAACTTTTGAATTTGTTGTTTCTTGGTAAAAACAGTCATACTTCATTGTTTGAATCTAATATGTTCCTGAAAATGATTTGAATGTTAAAGTTTTTTTGTTTACTTTTTATGTGAGAAATTCTAATTATAATATGTCCCTGAACCATTTAAATAACTCCAAATAGTTTCCTCAAATGACACTACAAAAAATCTATTTACTTACTAGCCCATGTTTTTATTATGATATTAAACATTACAAACTTCAGTTACCTTAGTAACAAACATGTAATGGGTCATTAACAGCTTAATGCAGGTTTTCTTGAAAGAAATGTGCAATAATGCAACAATTTGCTAGAAGCAAGATGTGCTATAGTGCATGCTTTGCTTCAGAGAAACCACCCAAATCAAAGCAGCTATATTTTATCCATGAAAATTATTATTGGAACATAATTATATAAAGTACTTGAACTTGTGAGACCAAACAAGAAAGGAGTTTATCAAAAACAAACTTTTATTTTCTCAAGTTGTGTGTGTAAAATGTAGGCACAATAAATCTCAGTGTGGTACAGTACATAATGCAATATTTTATGGTTCACAAAAGTATTAAGACTTCTCATTACTGTCTTGTTGTTTGCAGCATACTGCACAACATAATGACTATATTACAATAACAAACTAACCATATATTTATTTTTGCTTCAAATGTACAGGTATAATTTGAAGGACAAAATTAGTACTGTTCTTAACATTCCATACATGATGCTTGCAGTAGTGACACATGAAGTCTTGCATTGTGTACAACACTCCTTACTCAGTACTCTCAACCTGACTATCACACAGACTGTATTAAACATCATTAAAGTCATTTACAGTGTCTTTTGTCTGTATTTTACAATATGTCCTCTCTCTCCATTTGGCAAGAGATGGCAATTTTAAAAAATTGCAAACCATTTTGTCAGTTAAAAAATTTTTTCCCACTTCAAATTAGTTATTACCACAAGTTTTACTTACTAATTAATGCAGATGCTAGTAACCTTATCAATTTGGAAAGCAAAAGTAATATATTAATCTGGCATTTAGAAATAAGAATCATTTTTGAATAATTTTTTAATGAATAATTCCAAATTATGCATTTCATTACAATACTTAAATTCTGTCATGCCAAAATTTTCATGTTTTAATCTACTGAAAAAAGATCAGTGAAAAAAAATGCCACTCCAAAAAATTACTCAATCTTGAAATGCTGGGTGACATGCTTGAATGTCACTTCCTGCTTTCTCATCCGAATTTGCTATGTGATGTCACAACACATTAGGTGTATGGTGCACAGGACTCCCATCACACAGGAGCTTGATATTCTGCTGTTTTTCCTGAAGTGTGTTTTGTGATTCAATTTCATGCTGATTATTGAAATAAGCAAATCATGTGTTAACTTACATATCTGATTTTAATGTACAATATCTAACAAATATGTAAAGTTAATCCATATTTAAGTAATTATTGTGTAACTATTTACTGAAAATAATCATGAAATGTTTGAATCTTTTTAACTCTGGTACCTTCTTTCCATTAGTTCCAAAAGACTTTTTAACATTAGAAATATATTCTATTCATTATTCATATTATTCTAATGTAATTTTTTGAAAGCATCAGCAAAACAAGTTATTTTTTCTCTTTCTTCAATATCTATCACTGAAATACATGAAATATAAAAATTTTTAATTTAAAATTAATCTTAATTATATTTAAGTTCACATCTTTTACCTACCCAAGTGGTTGCTCCATCTTGGTTGTCATCTAGTTCCATTTCTTCTAGAGTATTTAGCCAAGGTAACATTAGCATTTCCTTGATTGTTATATCATTCACAACTGCGAGATCTTTGTATATGCCTGGTCTGTGTTAATGTAATCTTGAGACAGTACATCATTTTCATTCAGTCCCTCTATTAAAATCTGAATGTCAGTAATTTCTTGTAATAAATCTGGCTCCTCTATTTTATCATTTTAATTTGAATTAAAACCCACCTTTCTGAAATAGTTTCTTAGGCAGTTGTTGCTGATGTTTTTGTGAGCATCTGATATTTATTGAACAGTGTGCAATGCAGAAATTTTACTAGATGATTCAGATGCAATGATATTAATCCACATGAGTAATGTCATTGCATCTCATGTGGATCAAAAATTCTGAAAGGGGCAGGTAATTAATGGTAAATTCCAGACTGATTATGAAACATTAGTCTATTTATATAACATTTTCCTGCATGCTCAGAATTGATTTGTATGCAAGAGACATTGTTTCATAAAGTTGTGATATGTTTGAATATTCTTCTTGGAATTTCATGTTAAATTTGTCATTCATTTCCAAGGACTGACTGAAAAAATAGAAATATAACTTGAAATGTGAGTTGTTGTAGTTTTCAGTTTTTGAGATGCAACAAACTTATTTCCCAAATACTGCTGTTGGAAGCATAATGTTAGTGTAGGTTATTGCTGCAGAATTTGATTAACATATCATTTCAATGCCATATTACAAATGTGAGAATTACAATTAGACAATGGTGTCATAACAGTACAAATTGTCTTTCAAAAACACAGAGTTTAACTTAATTCTGATAGTTTCTAACCATGGTGATGTCAGCTGAGAAAGATTACACTGGAAA